GATTATTCTGAACCCAGTCTAGAATCTTCTAGGTTCAACGTATGGAAGGAATGTAAGAAGGTGTTCAATTGAAAATGAGACGAACAATCAAAAAGCTTGTGACTTATGGCTATATCGAGGCAATGCACACAGGATGCACATATACAATCCTAAATAACAATCGGAAGATACAAGTAAAAACAACACCAAATGAATTTAAACAATCAATTCTTTCTTATTTTATGTTAGCTACTCAGATTAGTTCATTTACTTAATGAAAACTATCTGAAAATAATACAAAATAAGAAAAGTTATTTGAAATTGTTGTTAATAAGTTCAATCGATTATAAATAACGTTGATTACTATTGAATTATTGACTGAAACTATAAATCGATCAATAATAGAAACCTGGCCAATTCATCCTAGTATTGAACTCTTCAACAGGTCTCATCAACGATTACAAAAGCGGGTTCCGAACCCAGAACCTTAAGTCTCACGAATTAAAGCTTAACTAATAAACCAATAAACCAGTTAGACTCTAACGGCGTTAATATTTGACTTCAACCGATCTAATACTTCCGAGTTTTCTGTAGTAGTAGTAGTAGTAGTAGTAGTAGTAGTAGTAGTAGTAGTAGTAGTAGTAGTAGTAGTAGTAGTAGTAGTATAGTAGTAGTAGTAGTAGTAGTAGTAGTAGTAGTAGTAGTAGTAGTAGTAGTAGTATAGTAGTAGTAGTAGTAGTAGTAGTAGTAGTAGTAGTAGTAGTAGTAGTATAGTAGTAGTAGTAGTAGTAGTAGTAGTAGTAGTAGTAGTAGTAGTAGTAGTAGTAGTAGTAGTAGTAGTAGTAGTAGTAGTAGTAGTAGTAGTAGTAGTAGTAGTAGTAGTAGTAGTAGTATTCTGATATTGATCCATTTATATGATCTCAATCAATAATTTACAAATCTCTGCAACATTCTACTGATCAAACTATTTATTGTATAATATAAATAAACATTGGTGTAGACATACAGACATACATATAATCAGACATTCAATTAGATAGATATACAAACAGAGAGAGAGAGAGAGTAGAAGTATGTTGTAGGAAACAAAGAAAAATTTTTTCTTTTCTTTTCTTTATTTTTATTCTTTCTTTCAAAATAAACATCAAATAAATGAGAAACAAATAGAATGTAAGTCAAATATTCTTCTTCTTCTTCACTTTGGTACCCCGCCCCCTCCCCAAAGATAAAAGAAAAATGGATTGAAACATTGAAACAAAAGTTTAAATAGATTATAGGAAACAGGAAATAGCAAAGTACTATTATTATTATTATTATCATTATTATTAAATATTATCATCATCCCCCTAATCGTATACACTGATAAACAAAAAACAAACAAACAAACAAAAGAATTCGGAACGAAACAATAACAACAACAACAACAAAGAACCTATTCGAAACAATAGTTGCTTGGGGTGGTGTCCGATGGGGATAGACAATTCTGAATTCAACTAATCATTATTATTATGATGATGATGATGATTATGATTATGAAAAATACTTGAATAGAAATAGATTTTAATATTGAACAATAGATAAGTTCTTAAAAAGAGAAAGACAGACAAGAAAGACCACGTACACATACACACACACACACACACACGCAGATATACAATCACTGGGAGGCAAGAACAATAAAGAGAATGGATAATACTTATGAAACGAATAATAATAATGGTTATTATTCTTATTATTATTGTAACGATAATAAACGAATAGGTTTATTTATCTGCCTATCTATCTACCTCCAGAAAGGTTTTCTATTAAATTATCTATTTGTAAGTGTTATTTATTTATTCTTTATTATAGATTATAGTTAGCTTTGTTCAGCTGTTCAGTATACAAGGGTATAGGGTATACATATATATATATGTTAATCTATATAGATTAAAGCCTATCTATAATCCAATCATAAGACGATGATGATGATGATGATCATCATCATCATCATTATGATGATGATGATAATGATGTTAACCAGGACTGAATTTTTCTTTTTGAAGGTCATTTTTATCCACTATAGAACAACGAAATCAGTCATATAATAATAATAATAATACAGACTGTAAACAAAGAAAACATTACCAAAAAAGAAATTGGAAAGAAAAGAAAAGAAGAGAAAAGAAACAAACCGAAGATAGAATGTATGTATAAACAGTGAATAGAAAAAGTGTACGCGTGTGTGTATGTGTGCTTGTGTACGTGTGTGTGTGTTTGTGTGTGCATAACGGTAAGAGAGAAATAGAAAGAACGAAAGAACGAAAGAAAGAAAGAAAGAAAGAATATAATGCATAACAAACAATAGAAAATTGAAAATGATCTTATTTCTGTCTACTATACCATACATACAAATGTTGTATATACACGCAATTACAAGAAATTGAACAATAGATATATCTGCATACAAGAACAACAAAACAAAAGAACAATTGAATTAAAAGCACACCATCACAACTACTAAGGTGGATTAAAGATGATAAGATTATGATGATGATGAAGAAGAAGTTGGAAAAACGAACGAAGAGTAACGTCTGAATGATGGTGGTTGGATGGGTGGGTGTTTGGTTGTTTCAATGAATGAGTGAATATTTTGATACTTTTGGAGGCGGAGTATGTACATAACAACAACAATAATAATAATAATAATGATAAAAGAACACGAACAAGTACAATATTGACTATAAGAAATTAAGAACGAAAAAAAAAATCGAACAAATAAATACAAGAGAAAGGGGAATATAGGAAATCCTTCATTTTTTTTTGTATCTATTTATTCTTCTCAGTCTTTATTTATAATGTGTGTTCTCATAAGGAATGTCATGTGGGTGGGTATATGTTTATTCAATAGTGTATATATATATTGGGTTTGAGACAAAATATCAATTTGCCTACAACTCATTTCGGCCTCCGATTTTGACAATACTATTATTATTGTTATTAATATATATATACGTATATAACAATGCTATTTGAAAAGCTAAAAGAAAAGACAAAGAATTACACTGAAAGCATACAACTTCCTCTCTCTTTTCTGTATCATTACCTCGTTTACTAACTGTATATATATGTCTGTATATGTATATGTATGTATATATGTGTGTGTGTGTTCGTGTAAGTATGCATCAATGATTTTATGCTTCTTTCTTCTCAATTAATTCAATTATTATTATTATTATTGGTGTACACTCATTTGAAATGAATTGACAAAACAATTTATTCATTATTATGAATAATTCTATATATATATATATACTGTCTTACTCTAACTTGGCAATCAGTATCTCATTTACAAAAGTCTATCTATCTATCTATATATATACAATACAAATTATTCATTGATATTATTCTAATGGAAATAACCAGTAATTACACTGTTATTGATGATTATAATTCAACTAATACTACTGATTTCAACTTAAACAGTATACACCCATGAATGACTAATAGACATCATTGAATCATATTTGGAAATATATAAATAACCATGATGAATATCCATCAATTGAAATAACATTGTCATCACTTACTATTAGAATAAGCTCTACTCAATTATGATTCATATTTAAATGAGATGTAATTCCTTGAATATTTATATATATATATCTATATGGATCATTTCCATTATGGAACTATGATGGATATAATGTCTTGGGATATAAATTGATTTTTGGTAAGTAAATATAAAGGATCATTTTATGAATTTTTCAAATTTTGTATTGTTTGTTTGAATGATTTCATTGATGTTTAAGATTGTAATTAATCATTCTCTTAATAGGATATGTACATCCTGTACAGATTGCCTCGATATCGCTTTAAATCATAAGTAATCTATGCTTGGACAGATGATAACTAGTAGTGTAATACAGGACGTGCGTGTTGTTCTGTCTGGGACTCGTCAGTTGGATGTATCTGTATCCCAAGACTGGAACACAATACTGTTCGCTTCAAACGCCATTGAGTAATCCAATTAGCTACTAAATCCTTATAGCCACTGGCTTATGTAACAGGGTAAAGTTTAAATTCATGTTGTATTGTTTATTTGAATGTTCCATCATATACATCCAGCTGACGAGTCCCAAATAGGATGAAATGTTGCACGTCCCAGATTCCATTGGTAGCTACCATGCATCTTTGTATGTGAAAAAAACAACTGTTTCAATAACAACTCAAATCATTATAACTCACTGATGGATAAATGTCTAATTATATTCGAAATACTTCACTAACTCATGAAGTAATAGAAGCACTAGATTCTGATTCAAGTCTCTGGAAATAATTCATTCCCATTAAGATTGAAATATCATGAATTTGATCCCTAATAAATTTGTGACTCCACACTTTCCCATGGAGTGAAACAATTATCAAGTGCTCCATTTTCTTTTAATAGTTTTCCAGTGGATGCTAATTTTCAATAGTAACCTCTGTCAAACTAAATAATGTTGATAACATAAAGAAAGATATCAAAAGTTATGTAGGAATGAAATGTATCAAGATTTCATTCAATAATGAAAACTATTCTTATGGTTATTGACATAAGACTATGATTCCCTGACGACCTTCGAGAGAGATGCTAAAGTGAAATTGAGAAAGACCACTTAATTACTATTAATAAATGAGAGTTATAAACCTTTTTGATGAATAGGGATTATGATTTACAGTTGATGGTAAGAGTGTGGAATTAGATTTAAGGTCTCCATCACGAACTGATTTAAGCCTAAATGTTAAAATGCTATATAGCTAAATGGATGGATGAATTTACGCGCCGAAATCCTAGACCTGTTAACGTAAATCTGATTGGTTCATTCATAGATTATTAACCTCACAATTATTGAAAGTGTGCCACGTTGATAGTTTTCAGATAAGATCACTTAAACTGAATACAAATGATTTTGATCCTTTGAAGAAAAATTCTCTAAAAAAATCAATATTACTGGTTTACAAAAATAACAATGTAAACTTACATAAACTAATCACAATAAATGGTGATGATGATGATGATGATGATGATGATGATGATGATGATGATGATGATGATGATGATGATGATGATGATGATGATGATGATGATGATGATGATGATGATGATGATGATGATGATGATGATGATGATGATGATGATGATGATGATGATGATGATGATGATGATGATGATGATGATGATGATGATGATGATGATGATGATGATGATGATGATGATGATGATGATGATGATGATGATGATGATGATGATGATGATGATGATGATGATGATGATGATGATGATGATGATGATGATGATGATGATGATGATGATGATGATGATGATGATGATGATGATGATGATGATGATGATGATGCTTTGGATGATGATGATGATGATGCTTTGGATGATGATGATGATGATGATGATGATGATGATGATGATGATGATGATGATGATGATGATGATGATGATGATGATGATGATGATGATGATGATGATGATGATGATGATGATGATGATGATGATGATGATGATGATGATGATGATGATGATGATGATGATGATGATGATGATGATGATGATGATGATGATGATGATGATGATGATGATGATGATGATGATGATGATGATGATGATGATGATGATGATGATGATGATGATGATGATGATGATGATGATGATGATGATGATGATGATGATGATGATGATGATGATGATGATGATGATGATGATGATGATGATGATGATGATGATGATGATGATGATGATGATGATGATGATGATGATGATGATGATGATGATGATGATGATGATGATGATGATGATGATGATGATGATGATGATGATGATGATGATGATGATGATGATGATGATGATGATGATGATGATGATGATGATGATGATGATGATGATGATGATGATGATGATGATGATGATGATGATGATGATGATGATGATGATGATGATGATGATGATGATGATGATGATGATGATGATGATGATGATGATGATGATGATGATGATGATGATGATGATGATGATGATGATGATGATGATGATGATGATGATGATGATGATGATGATGATGATGATGATGATGATGATGATGATGATGATGATGATGATGATGATGATGATGATGATGATGATGATGATGATGATGATGATGATGATGATGATGATGATGATGATGATGATGATGATGATGATGATATAAACGATTACATCTAATCATTATTGCAATGGTAATAATAAGATTACGCAATAATTAAGGAATAAAGAAGGAATATCAGGATGAAATAATTTACGGATCTAATTATCCAATTCATAATATTCACTTGTACAACCACTAAATATAGAGAAATTTTAATTAAAATTACATAATTTTTAAAGTCACGTGTTATTGTTCACCCGAATCTTCGCATTATTGTTTAGGATTGCCATTGATCAGTCTCTTATTGACATATGTGATTACTGTGTGTATTGCTTTGATACTGCTTTAAATCACAAGCATTGTAAGTAAAGATGTATAGTGACAAGCAAGGGAATGCAGGACACGCTTCACTTCATCCTACTTGAGACTCATCAGCTGAATACACCTGCATCTCAAAGTTGATGATCACTCTGTTTGCTTCAAACTCGAACTCGTTATTCACTTAGCTACTAAATCCTGATAGCCACTATCTTGAGCATTGGCGTGAAGTTTAAATTCACTCTGAGATGCAGGTACATCTAGCTGACTAGTCGTAAATAGTAGGAAACGTATGTTCTGGATTCCACTGCTAGCCACTATCCATCTTTGCCTGCATAATTTTTAATTTCCATTGAAGATGTCTATCTAACTGTTAAATGTTCAATGTTAAAATATTTTGAAAACATTGAATATTGAATAGTGAAATTTTGTTTTAAAATGGTTCCTTTTGTTTCTTTCATCAGCAGGACTAAAAATGTTTAAAATGACTAAAAATCAATAAAGGCACTGTAGAGTATCAACGATTGAGTAACTCAACAATCCAGTGTATTGAGCCATTGAGTAATCAATGATAAACAGTAATAATAACTTCTCTTCCATTCTATTCATTTATACAAATGTAACAATATGATTGGTTGATTGATTGACAGGTGAATGAAAGAAATAAGATATAGAAATTAGAACTACTTGTAAGTAGTCATTTACTAAATAACTTAAATGAATTGTTATATAGAAGGTGATTTGAAGAACAACGCAATGTATAACGTTATTAATTTATATCAGATGGGTTTTGTGGATATTGTAGTAATTTCAATGGTTAAGATCATGAGTCAGCTGAAGGTAGACCACCATGGAAAACCTGGAAACACTGGACGGCCGTTTCGTCCTAGTATGAGACTCCTCAGTAACGCGCATCCACGATCCCACCCACGGGACTCGAACCCAGGACCTTCGGTCACTTACATGAACGATTAACCTCTAGATTATTGAGCCGACAGGAATCCGATGTCTAATTTCAACCGATCCATGAAGTTGCACCACCGTCCACCATTGTCTTCAATGAGTTACTATCTCACAACAGACACGGTTGAACTCCAATGGTCACGGTTTCTCACTAGAACTTCAGGAAATACCTCTTGGAGGACGTCACTAGTGAGTGCTGGACGGCCGTTTCGTCCTAGTATGGAACTCCTCATTAGTGTGTATCCACGACCCCGCCTCGCGGGATTCGAACCCAGGACCTATTAGTCTCGCGCCAGGCGCTTAACCAACTAATGAAATTGGATGATTTTCACATTGTAAACTCTACTCAGATTTTACCAAGATATTCTGTAATAACCCATTAAAATGCATTTGGTTGTTCCTGCCTATGTTTTAGTTCTCTATACCATCTATGTATTCAATAAGTACAGTAGTTTAACTATTTAGACAAGATTCTTTTCTTAATTATTCAATTACTTAGTTAATCTTCTCAAAGTCATCCAACTTCTACGATCTAAAATAAAAAAACTCACTGAAATATCTAAGTTATTTATTAGTTTCTATCAAATTATAAACTTAAAACAAACTATCTAGATCTCATGGTTATTTATACACATTATTAGTACAGAGTTGTGGACATTATTAAGTTTTTGATCGAGATCTGAAGCAGGCGACAATCAGTATCGTAAACTGATTTTCGCTTATACTTTCCACTCATCAGAAGTATTACATCATCAGATTAATTGCTTTGCTTGCTGTGACGAAAGAAATTTAATATCAGTATAGGGTTGTGGAGAGTATTAAGTTTTTGTACTGAGGTACACTGCAAGATGGTCGCTCAATTTCGTGAATTAGTTGAAGTCAAACATTAAAACTGTTGGCCACCGGCCAGGTTAGTGGTCTAGCGGTTAAGCGTTCGCGCACGAGACTGAAGGACCTGGATTCGAGTCCCATGTGCTGGACCGTAGATCCGCACTGCTGAAGAGTATCACAACAGGACGAAATGACCGTCCAGTGCTTCCAGGTTTTCAATGGTGGTCTAACCTCAATCAGTTCATTTAGAATAATGTCAGTAGTTGTGTTGGTATTGTTCAATGTCGCTAACTAGTAAATTATAATTCATCAACAGACATGATGAATTCTTCAACTATAATTGTATTTAAACAAGTGGATTTTCTTCCATACAATTCTTTTAACAATTATTGGTCTGACCTTTCTGACCTCAAATTTTATTAGGTCATGTTTGTATTGACTTATAGTCTTTGTTGCCAAAACTTATGCAAGTTTATTGATTATATTTGGTTATATATTAGTTGAATAAAGGCTTGATTGTTCTCTTTGTAAGTGGATTGTGGATTAACTGATTAGTTGTACTTAATTTGATTATGCCCAAAAATTCGTATGTTACTATTGAGTATATGTATTTTAGGATTTCTATAGTTTCTCCTTCTGTTAAGATCAAAGCTAATATATCATTTTAATTCATAAGTGATTGATCACTAGGTGGTAATCAATATCATGTGTGTCAGATCCTTCATTAGTGTATATCGAATACTATCGACCAAGTTGTAATATGGCAACTAGTCTAGGTGACTAGACATTTCATGCAGTATGTTGCGATAAAATGATGGTTAGAGGTAGTCAACAAGAAACCTTGTTGACAAGAAATCATATTGACTATCTCCAACCACAATCATATCAATTCCAAGGCATATCTGACAGTCTACCTTAAATTAACTTTTCCCATTGTGTTCAATATTTAATACAATCGTTAAGATTACGACTCTTCAGTTTTTGTTAACATTCTTCCACTTTGCATTCACTAGTGACTAGTAGATACCACGAAATGTTTTAAAGTTTATTTTCATGACCTTTAGAGACCAGTTCCGACGGGTAAATGAATGTAGGAGTGACATGAAATCACGGGACACTTAACCATTATTAGTTGAATAGATATTTTGCTTATTCTATAAAACTGATGATCTTAAAGGATAAATATTGAAAAAACAAATTTCGTTGATCTAATTAAAGAAATAAAATTCATATAGAAATCAATTTTTCAGTTCATACTTCAATTATCTTTCATCTACTCTTACCATGAAATCTTCCGCGTCCCGCAGCTTTTCCTAATATTAACAATACTGTATTTGATCTAACAACATTAATTGAAGATAGACTACCATGGAAAACCTGAAAGCACTGAACGGTTGCTACATTTTATTGTGGAACTCCTCAACAGTGCTCATCCACAATCTCACCTCGCAAGATTCGAACCCAAGACTTATCGGTTTCGCGCTGGTATCCAACAGCGTTAACGTCTATCATGGTGGTCTAGCTTCACTTGACTCATGAATTCAATTATTAAATTACTACAATCTACACAAAACCCCTCTGACTATAATTATCATATGCTCACTAGTGATTATCTCCAAGAGTTATTTCTTGGAGTTCTAGTGAGAAACCGTGATCAGTGGAGTTCATCTGAGTCTGTTGTGAGATAGTAACTTACTTAAGACTAATAAAGGTCATTGTCGATTTCTAAGTTCATTTTAATTCGTCAATGATAAATTCATTTTTTCTCAAATATTAAGCTATAATCATTACGATTGTAAATTAAACTAATAATTTGCTTTTCGTCATTAAAGTGAAGGGTATATTTGCACATTAGTTGGGAGAGCGTTAGACTGAAGATCTAAATGTCCCCGGTTCGTTTCCGGGTTCTGGCAGACGACTGGCTCTCAGTTTTTGGCCCCCAAATGCCCTGGTACGGCCGAGAGTAGTGAGAGTCCGCTCTTCCTCTCGAAATGCTCTCACATGGCCACGTGTATATAGCCTCTGACAGGGAAGTCCTACTCACTGCCTTCTCGTGACGGGGGTGTTGTTTACGAAATTGAAAGAACGAAAAGCGAACAACATGGAGAGTCCACCCAGGGGAGTTGGGAAACCCTGATTCCAAGCCAATGGTACATATGGGCTCTATTATCCTGGGGGAACAAATGGCGTATGAACCAATCGTTGGTCACCGGCTACCATGGGACTGCACCTCCTTACGATGCTCCACTGCCTTATGGATCAGACCTTCAGGTCGAAGGCTCCGGTTGTGGCCCTCTAAGAAAACCACCTGGTTCGGTTTGGGCAGCTGGGCAGTGTCACATCTCTCACACATATCAGACGAGATTTATGTGGTGCATATGTATTTGGTGCCTCCTTGTACAAATATCTATGTGTTAAAATAAATAAATAATAAATAAACTTTTAAGTAGAATTGTTTATTTATTTCATTACAATGAAGGAAATATGTATGCGCATGCATGCATGCATGCATGAAGTAATGATTTACATTCACTTTATATTGTTTGCTTGTAATGTCTCATTGTTGTTTAGGAATGGAATTGATCAGTCTCTTGTTGGCATATGTTCATCCTGTGTGGATTGCCTCGATATTGCCTTAATTCATAAGCATTATATACAAAGATGGATGGTGGGTAACACTGGAATCCACAATGTGCATTTCATCTTACTTAGGACGTATCAGCTGGATGTACCTGCACCTCAGAGTTGATCTTCATTCTGGGACTCGAACCCAGTACCACTCATTTCAAACACCACCGTGTTATCTACTTAATTACTGAATCCTGATAGCCACCTGCTTGTAATCATAATTTAATCCTGGCTAGGTCGCTACAGAAAACTAGAAAACACTAAATAGTCATTTAGTCATAATATGAGACTGCTTCAGAAGTGCACACCTACGACCTCACCGC